AGCAACTGAAGGAATGCTTCTTGGAGGATGCCTCCAGGATAGGGAGCACTGCCAGGTGAGCAAGGGCAAGCTGCAAGCCCTCTCTGTCCACTCTCAGCCAGCTGGACACAGTCACTCTCAGCCCATTCTCTCCAACCGAGTTCGTGAGGCAATATGAAGTTACGCCGGATCCAGCTATTGACTTGGCTTTGTGGAACCAATTTTTTGTATCAGCTTTTCTCTCAGTACTGCAGCAATGTTGACAGATGCTGTGCCTTGGAGCTGTGCAGCTCATAGCAGCTGTGGATCTACCCTCTCAGTGATGCTCCAGGGTACGTCTTCTGTCAAACAAAGGGCACAGGAGCTCTGTATGAAAGACTACAGGTAGCTGCACCTATGTAGGTGAATGCCTGGGATCTTTCCCTTATCTTTTCCTCTGTGGCTACATGGGTTCATCACCAGGTAAAAATGAGCTCAGTAGCCCAGTCTGTGGCAGAAATTGCTGTATAACATCAAGCGGAAAACGTACAAGCAGAGACATCGTTAATGGGATGCGGGTGCCTAATTATCTCTAGAATTGCAGCATAAATCTGAGACCGCTCCTGCATCATGGGAGATTCTATCATAGAACCACTGCTGGGACACCTGAACTCTGCCTTCACTTGTGGTTTGAACAGGGCCTTGAGTAGCTGTCATGGAGAATTGTTGTTATCTGATAGTGCCCTTCAACAGGTGGTTGTTTTGTTCCTGTACAGGTGGATTGATGTTGTGCCTCCCACAACAAGCTCTGAAAAGTCCAACTGTCGGAAAAGAAGCCAGGCAACTAGTAAATTACCTTATTTCTGTTTCTGGCTGAAGACTGTCTCCAGCAAACTAATATCAAGCCCTATAACCCAACTGCATGAAGCTCTGCACAAATGGCACGACAGAAGATCTTTGCATTTCAGAGAACTCAATTTCCAGAATAGTTCTCTCCTGCAAGTCTTAAAAGTCTCTCTACTGTCTCTTGGGCTTTGAAAAAAAAGTACCAATAATGTTAAAAGAGAGGAATTATCCCAAATCTCGTTGTGAAGCAAGAATCCTGAGAGCATGCAACATATGCAAGCTCATGAAAAATCCTGTTCTCATTATCAAAGAGTGGAATGCCAAAACAGAACCCTCTGAGGCAGTGCAAGGCTAAAGAGCTGGGCTCTGTCTCTGTAGCACATGTAGAGCTGTCTCTTACATCCAGATGAAAGCCATGAGTTCTGAGTGAAAATGGCCCGACGCACCATGATCTCCACGGGTGGGAAGTATCAAAGCAAGGCAAAGCAAAAATATTGGGACTAATGCCTCTTCCTGTGTATTTTTGCAGGAGATGCTACCTACCTGGACATCTTCCGGGAGTTCTCTCACATGGCTTCGAACAATCCTGAGAAACTCAAAAGGAGGAGCCTGCATTTCAGCCACTCCTGCAGATAGCCCCCTGCCTCCCTCCCCTCTCCCTCCCTCCCCTCCTCTGCCCGGACCTTCTGCTGGCAGCTGAGCTCTGAGCTGCCTGAGCTCCGTGAGCGCAGAACGGCAGAAGCGTCTGAGCAGGTGTAACAGGCACGCCGAGCTCAGCTACTGAAGAAAGATGTTCTTTGTTCAGACATGCTTCTGCTGGGAAACCTGGAAACCTGTGTTTTCCCTGGTGTCTGCTTTCGTGCCCTGACCAGGAAGATGACAGACCTTCCAGGACTAATTCCAGAACAGGTATGCATTCAGACTGTAGGCTTAGGTCCCATGCCTGAGTGCAGTTTAAAAATGCGTCAAGCTGGACTTTTAGGTTTCAGTGTCCTTTCTGCATCGCTGTTTCTGGGAAAACCTCCCCTTTCTGGGTGTATGCCAACACTGGCATTTATCATACTGCAACAGTGCCCACGCCTGGAATGAAGTACAGGTAACCGGTCCCGAGCATTGCGTGTGCCAGGAGGACATCAAGTCTGAAGTGCTCTGAAAACTAAGGAAAAGGGAATGTGCCCACGCCTGGAATGAAGTACAGGTAACCAGTCCCGAGCATTGCGTGTGCCAGGAGGAGACCGAGTCTGAAGTGCTCCAAAAACTGAGGAAAAGGGAAGTGATGCTGAGCCAGCCTGCTCAGCTCATGAACGGCCAGCACCCGCCGCTTGCCGTGCTCCGGGGTATACCAGCTGCCCACAACAGCCACAGGATGCAACTCCCTGTGGTACGGGGACCTCCACACACAGACCTCCCGTCCTCTCGGGAGACAAAGGCCACCCAGGACACAGCACCCAACTACCACTGAGCCACAGGGCTCCCAGTCCCAACCAGTCCACTGCAAAACCTTTGGCAAAACACTGCGTTTTGCTGCGTAACTCACCCCTTAAGATACCTCTGCCACTGAGTGCATTGAGACATTTGGTTTAGCATCGACCGGGAGATATAACACGGATTCCATGGAGACTTTACAAGCAATACCGCAGACAGA